AGAAAACGGCTGAAACAGGCTGGAAACAGCTGATCGCCGCGTGACGCGGCCAAAGGGTCGTGACGCGCCGCAGCCGCGTCGCGACCCTTTGGCCGCCTAATCAAGTGACCGGATGACGACTGTACCTATGTAGCAAAGCAGCCGCTTCATATCAATCCCTTCGCTTCATATTGTACTTCGCAAATGAAGCGATACGAGCACCAGCACGGTCGTCCATTTGTGGGCGGGCCGGCGCGGTGGAGCGTACAGGTCGGTATGTTGCAGCTTGATAGGGCGCTATAAGGGTAGCTTTCTAGGAAGGGGAACTCGCAGCGCTCGCTCAGGGGCGCCGAATTCTGTCCTGCTAAACGCGGGATCCACGTTTTGGGGGTTTGTCGCGCCACTTGCCTTTTATAATTGGTCAGAACGTTTCGTTTTTCCATAGTGTTTTGGTAACACAGCTAGTACTGCTGTTTACGTATGACATCTGATTGATTATTTGATTATTTAGTAGAGCAGAGGAGGGGCCTGGGGCCCAGAACGTTTCCGCATAAAATCTTTACAGTTTCGTTCAATAAGGAAAACTTAAAGAAATTTAAAACATAGTAAAACTCAGGGATCCCATTATATAATCCGATTTGAGAAGAGTATTGTCGTTGTTTTTTTCTGAGTTTCCCAGTTTCAGAAGCGGTGTCTTTGGCTGATGAACGCGTTCATTTGATCACCCTAGAAAGAAAAACTCCACTCGGCACCCGTCACGCCTCGAAGAGATTCGATCTTTACGTGAGTTACCAATTGGAAGACCACTTTCTACAATTTTTACAGTTTCCACACCTTCTCACCTGTACCAATGAGCAATGTATTCTTCTTCCAAAAAGTGTCTTTCTAGATTGACGGCGTTCATAACGAGATACCTGATATTGCCAAGTACACACTGAGCAATATTACTGTAAGGGCTGACGAGACCGGCGAAACGAATCCAGTTGTCATCCACGGTAACTGACTTCTCTAACCGATCCTTGTGGAATTCATCCGATAGTATGCCTTTTGCTTCAGATATGGGAGTGGCATACGAATATGACGAGCATCAGCCATTTCTCCATCATCAATCCAACCGACTACACCAGGTAATTCGTCTTCGTTCCAACCCGCAATTCTCGGTACAATCCTTTGCTCTTCAAGGTGGACGTGCAATCAATGCTGCTCCGACATCGGCTCCATGGCCCCATGGAGGACATGACCGTCACTGATCCGTACCTGTGGAAGAAAGTTCCTTCAGCGGAAGCGCGATCGTCTCCACCCGGTGAAATAGTGCCGTATGTTCCGGACTCTTTCGAACCGCAACGACTACGTAAGTGAGCTACAATAAAAATCTCTGACATGCGGTAGGCGTGGCTGCGTACTTGAAAACGTGGCAGCGGCCAAGCTTTAGCGGGGCATTTTCATTTTGGGGCAGTTACAATCATGTTTTCATCCAACGCAGAACAAGATGTCCCCAATTTGAAATAACTCACGAGTAGCCCATCCTATGCCATGTTCAGAAGCCACGCCTACCTCCGTCTCAGGGATAAGAAGTGTAGACGGTGGACAGTTCTAGAGAATTGACATCCCGATTGCAGTGTCTGCGAGCTGGCTCATATACTCGTTGATACTGACCACAGCCCTGTGCCTCCTGCTGCTGACCATCTGTCTTGTCATATACTGTTGTGTGTTGCGAAAGAGAAGGGCAGAGGAAGTCACATTGTAGATCAGATTTATTGGTGTGGTGATTATCGTCTGCCTGTGCACAACTGGGAACATTTCAGCATCCGATCGGGATCGTATTCTTAGAGACAGCCCTGACTACTCCGTGAAGATGAGATCGACCAGGACTGGTTAGTTAATCTCGGCAAGTAGGCAGTGTCTCTTATTGTTATTGAGCTCCTCTTCTTCAGATTCCGTCTCCTCATACGACGGCGACGGCTCGATCGGCACCGACAGACACCGATCCATGAACGCCTACCGCGACCATTATCCGCGACAGGCCATCCGCGTCTAAAGGTGACAAGAGAGTCGGTCGAGTTCCCAGCCTAAGAAGAGCACGCGAAGCAATGCATGGCAGGACATCACCCATTGAGACGCGGTTTGGCTCGACGCGGCGGGGGGGAGGGGGGTGGGAGGGCATCTTTCACTTTTGCTATTTCCCGTGAGCTATTCATGAGCTCACAAGTGCTAACAGGTTTACCCATGTTGGCTGAGCGACCGTTCCAGCTTCACCAACAGTGCACAGGTTTCCCCTAAGTAAGACTTCTGACCCGGAACTAGTGAAGCAGCGAAAGTGCGAAGTTGTTTCCTCCTCCTCCCCCCCTCCCCCTCCCGCCGTCGAGCCCGTCCTCACCCACATTTTATTTCATGTTCTTAAATTCTGGAAGAATATGTTTTCAGATGGTGTCCATACTGGTGCCTGGCGTGGACCAGCCAGGTGAAGCGATCGTGAAGCGAATACCAAGCCTGGACAAAGTGAGCACTCCACCATTGCTTGCTCCGAGTCCTGCCCCTTTGGTGAATGTGGATGAGCATTAACAATGTGTGATGGAATTTGCATTGGAAGAAAGGGATCTGATCTGATTGGCTGGTCCAAGCGGGTTGACTTTTGCCCGCATCTGCCCACACACTCCAATTACGGCTTTAGTTATGCGTTCGCTTTCAGAGGGAGCAGCCTCGTTGTATTATAGTTTGTTTTGAAGGTAGTGCTCACAAGCTCACAAATCACGGAAAGCACAAAGAGCTAAAACCTAACAGATGAGAAGGATCCCCAGTGATGGGCACAGCTTGCCATATGAGCGCGATCTTGTGAAAGCTGGGAAACCCGGGTTGCGCCATACGAGTAAGAGTTTCCCTTGAGCGTGAGCACTGCCTTCGCATGATTGGGGCTGGTCCCGTATAACCTCATCCCCGTTGCACTTTGATCTCACGGGTTCTATATGTGCTCCTTATTTTAATAAATATTTTTTTGTTACTATTGTAATGCCACGTTCTGTCGTTCAAATCGTGGAAAGACTAGCACTGTCTTCGATGGCGAGTAGTTCCGAAGACGATCTCCAGGGATCTTCAGAGGGGGTACACGACCTCACGGCACTAAATAAGTATTCGCAGTGAAGCTCCAGGAGCTGTCGGCGTTGATCAATCCCTATTTAGGATGGCCACGCAAAAAACCGCAGTGACATATTGAATACGATTTGACTCATAGAATGTCTCGTGAAGGACAGACACTGTACCAATCACTGATTTGTGCTCCCAGATGTTCGGTGCCTGTCTGCCGACCTTAAAGTGATGGAAGACTTGGTTAATGTAGGTAGGAGCCGATCTGAGTTTTGAACCCTCATCCTGAACGTGATAAGTGGCACTATTTGCCGCCGCAACCGCTCA